GCCCGCCCTCCGGGGCCCCGGCGGCCCGCGCCCCTGCTAGGCTGCGGCGGCATGGCCCGCGCGCCCGGCGCGACCTCTGCGGATTGCATCGGTGCCTGGCGGCGGGGCATGCCCAGGGCACCGGGCACGGCCTTCAATGGGCGAGGACACGGACACGCGGAAAATTAACCACAGCTTCCTGCGAGACCACAGCTATGTGACCGAAGGTAACGTACGTGTAATCTGAGACCCCCTCCGGCCGGCCGCGGCGTGGGGATGCCGTCGCACCGAATGCCCTCCGAAGGTTTGGACCGCGCGTGTGTGTCGTGTCCCCCCGCCCCAACCCACTTCACCCCGACCCAGGAGGGGGGGGTCCCGGGCTCCGGACCACGCCGCCCCTCGTCCTCCTCCGTGCCGCCCTCCCGGAGCGGCGCTGGCCCCGCCGGGGACGTCCGGATGCAGCTGTGACCGTCATTTTCCAAAAGGCCCTGCTGCGCCCATCGGATGCAGAGATCTCGGCTTTGCTCCTTGAGCTGGGGCTGCCCGTTCTCTGGAGACCAAAAGGGACCAGAAAAATAAAAATAAGATGAATTAATGAATATCTGTTGCTAGATCCCCCAGAGGCGCGCCTGCCCCGGGCCCTCCTCCTTGAGACCCCAGAACCAGGGACCCTGGATGGGAGCGTGAAGAGGGTTGGGTCTGGCCTTCTCTTCCTCGAGAGTTAGATAGGGGCAGGATGACCAGGCCATGCCTTCACGGCTTCCCAGAACGCACCCCGGACAGGCCCTGAGTCCCGAACACCCCAACTTGTTCACAGCCCAGCACCCACCCCAGGCTGACAGAGCCCTGCAGATCCATGGCTTTCTCGCGAGGACCAGGAACTTCTGGGGTCCCAGTGGATGGCCAGGCCCGGGCACAGTGGGGCAGCGCGACGGAGAGCCCGGGCGCAGAGTGACCCTGGGTGGAGGCGGGGGAGACCCTGCCGCGCGTGAGCTGTGGCGCTGGGGACACTTGCGCCAGGACCTCCCTGGCGGGCGCGGGGCGGTGCACCCCACAGGGCCTTGGCCCTAGCAGTGTGGTTTGCAGGCGACCCTTACGGGTGCTCTGGGGTGGGGGCGGCTTGCATGCTGCGGGATGGCGTGCGTGGGCAGTCGTGCCGGGAACCCGCGTGGGCTCGGGCCGCGGCTGCGCTCCCGAGGCCGTGTTCGCTGGAAACGAGGCCGTGCGGGAGCCGAGTCCGCTCGGGCGCGGGCCAGTTGCGGAGCAGAACCGCTGAGTCACACTCGGCGCCGGTTGCGGGAGGGGCGGGGCCGCCGGGACGGAGAAGGGGACCGCGCTGCTCCGTTGGGCTCTGCCCTTTGTCACCGGCTTGGTGAGGCGGAGCAAATCGCTGTCCAGGTGGGGCTGAGGAGGCCTCTGGCAGCCGGCAGGTGCCCCACGACCTGGCTCTAAGGGACCTGGGCAGATTTTCCCGCGGCCGCCTCGCTGGCTCAGTGCTTTATGCTGGGGTTGGTGTCGCGGCCTGGGACAGGCCGCGCTGGACACAAAGCTCTCGCAGTTCTCAGTGGCATTTTCAAGCAACCCCTTCGGTAATCAATTGCCAGCTCTCAGCGGGGAACGCCAGGGGCCTATTGACTCCGCTGCTGCCCCATCATTCGTTCAGCTCGGGCTTCCCGAGCACCCTAGGAGCAATTCGCGGTTTGCCCTGGGACCTCGGATTTCCTGCCCTGTGCAGCCTGCATTTTAGTAAGGAACCCTGTGACCTCAGCGAGTCTCAGTTTCACCACCTGTGAAATGGGCGTGGGTAAGATGCTCTCAAATCTCAGGCTGACATTTCTGGGAGGAGCAGGGAAGAGTTCATGTGAAGGAATCCGTGAGTGTTGAGCACCCCCAGGGTGCCTGGCCCCTAACCCAGGCCCCCTAACCCAGGAGCCTGTACCAACCCTGGAGGTAGGGCTGGTGCTCAGGGCTGGGAATGCAGAGAGGAACCATCTCAGAAGTCCATGTCCCTGGGAGGAGTTGAGAACAGGCAGCCGGGATTGTTAGGCTTAGGTGACGATTCTGGCCTCCCTACATGGAGCTGGGGCACGTGCTGCTGTATCCTCAGTGTGTTTTACACTCTGAGCATGGGACAGGCCAAAGTCCCTTCTGTGTCAGACAGACTTGTGTTAAAATTCTGCCTTTGACTTCACTTACTGTGCTGCCTTGGTCAAGTTACTAAACCTCTCTGAGCGTTGCTTTTCTCTGGGTAAAGAGGGCAATAACATGGCCTTTCTTGGGGGGATTATTGAGATGGTTAGTGATTGTGCTGGTATAGAAAGTACCCACCTGGAACTTAGCCTGTGGGACACATTTAATAGACGGCACCATTAGGGTCCATCTATAACTGGAAGAGGAGGAATGAATGGCGAATGTTGAGACTCAGGTTGCCAAAAACCCAAGAGTGCGGTCCCTGGCTGGGTCTGGTCTACTTCCTGCTGCTCAAGCAAGGGAAAATATGCTTTCGGTCTCCAGAGCTTTGCCTGGCGGGCCCCTGCCTGGAGCACCTTGCTGTGGTGTTTTCATCACTGACTCACACTAATCCTTTGTGTCCGTGAATCAAGTCATCCTTGCCTGAGTTCCGGTCTCTGAAATCCTGCATACCTTGAGCAGTTTAGGTCTGGTAGTCATTCACACCTCGGTGAGAGTTGGTGAGTGCTGGCTCCCACACTCCTGGCTGAGCTCAGCTATCCTGAAGGTTGCTGGCATTTTTAGGTGTGGGTGCGGGGTGCACAGAACTTGGTGTGATGTGAGCAGTGGAGTAGAGAGGCTTAAGAGGGCGGGGGGCCCTAGAAGCCAGGAACACAGGGAAGAGAGGCCGGGCAGACTGTGCACCTGGAAAGAATGCTCCTGGCTGTAGGCCCGGGATTCTGCTCCAGCGTGTGTGAGGTGGGCATTGAGCAGGGGTGGGGAGTCCCGGGCGCAGGGGCCTGGGTGGGCTTGAAGGTGCAGCTGGGCAGCTTCCTCCCCGCAGAATCGTCTTTTGGGAAGACCCACACTCTGGGGAACCTGACCCCGGGGCTGAGGTTGGGCTCATCCTCCCAGTACCTTCCTAGCACACAGCGCAGGTGTAGTTCCTGGGAGGGGACCTCGGGCCCTGGCTGGTGTGGTTGGTCCAAGGGTGATGGCCTCTCTTTTGCAGGGACCGGATCCAGAGTGGATGTGTGAGTCAGATCTGGAGGCTGGGTGGGAAGTGGAGAGAGCTGCAGGAGTCCTCCTCTTCCTCCTCACGCTGCAGACTGAATCCCCAGGGGTGGTTGCTGGTATGCCGGTGGTGGTTGGCAGCCTTCTTGGCACCATGAGGGGAGAGTCTTCTGCCAACCTTGCATGTGGCAGGGTGGAGAGTGAAGGCGACCTGCAGGCCACAGTGCCCTTGGGCCTCAAGTCTATGCACTCGGGGCTCCTGGTTACACAAGTGGCGCCTTCCCACTGTTGTGCTTGGGGTCAGGTCAGCTCCTGTGGTGAGCAGCACCCCAGGCCCTTGACCTTCGAGCAGGTCAGGAAAACCTGGGCTGCCTTGGACCCCACAGCAAAGGGGAGGCGCAGGGAGCCGAGGGGCTGCTGGCCACTCCCAGGTTGGCCTTTTATCTCTCTGGTGGAAGCTGCCAAGCCCAGAGGGCCACATCCCACCCGCTCTAAGAGACCAGCTCCCATCTGGCTGTAGGTCTGTGGTGTTTTGGCTGGGCCTCGGTCTCCCCAGGCCTCAGTTACCCTAGTGCTCTGGTTGTCACAAGGCTGGATGGGCAAAGGCTGTGTGGGTGCAGGTGGGCCAGGGGGTGGCTGCTACTGCATCACCCAGCTGTATGCCACACGGGCCACGGGCCATGGTTTTAGTCAGTTGCTGAGGTTTTAATCTGTCTCGAAATCAAGTTCTAAGACAGTGTGTGTGCACGCCTCCTGGGTGTCTTGTCTTGTTGCAGATTTTGATTTTTGCTTTTAAAGCCTTGGAGCTAAGAGGACATGATACGCTGTCTCGGCCCTGTGACCCGGAATTGGCGATGCAGCTGGGAGCACAGGCTCCGCGGGCGGGGACAGGTGGCCATGGAGAGGCGGTGCTAGGGCCCCTGCCGCTGGCCTTTCGGGCACCCTGGAGCTCGCCTCCCTGGCTTTCTTTAATGCCTGCGTCTGTTTTTAATAAAAACCGAAACCTCTCTCAGTGTAAATGGTGTGCAAGCTGCTTTTCTACTTTAGCGGAGCGCGTAGGATTTGCCGCGGCTTCGCTGTAGGCCCAGTGGTCCTACCTGTCATCCCGTGTCCCCACACACAGAGCTTCCAGAGCTGGACGCTACCCCCCCACGAGGTCACACCCTTTGCGCCCCGACCTGTGTGCAGGGCAGGCCTTGGCCACACCCTTTCTTGCTGCAGTCAGCCCCACCGAAACCTGCAAGGGCCGAGATGGCAGCCTCCGGGCTTTTTCCTCCCTCCCTGCCCAAGGGCAGAGGTTCCGAGCTTCCCCAGCAGGAAGCGAATGAACCGTGTTGCTTTCCCGCAGCTTGGGCTCTGGTGGGAAGCAAATGCAGTCTGAGATGTGAACTGTGCCTCAAGCGTTCTGCCTCCCGCCTAGGTGCCGCGTGGGATCCAAGGAAGCCACCCCACCCGAGAGGAGATGGGGCCTCAGCTCACACCTCGGAAGGCATTTGGCAGAAAAGGAATTTTCAGTGTGCATTAGGAGAGGGATAGAAAGATGTATCAGGCAGAAAGAAAAACACACAGAAGGGAGAAGAGTGCTGTCAGGGTGAGGCTGTCGTGGTCCAGATGGGATATTATGTGTTTGGAGGGGTGGAGTCTGGAATTGGCCAGTCTGTACGGAGCTGGGCTCCACTGACAGGTGAAAGGCAAGAAGCCCCCCGTTCCTCTTTGGCATTTTGCAACACGGTCTCATTCTGTAGGTCAGGCTGGCCCTGAACTCTATGGAGCGCGGGCTAGCCTTGAACTTGTGGTGATCCTCCTGCCTCAGACTTCCAAGTGCTGGGATTACAGTCATGTGCCACCATGTCTAGCTAGAAGGGCCTACTTTGCAGGCTTATTGTGCATTTAAGACTCCTGGGGGAAAAAATCTGGGGGTGAATTTCTTAGAGTGGGACAAAATCATAACCTTGGGCAACACTGTGCCTTAAAGCTACAGCTTTCAAAATGCAATATAGAAATCCTCTCTCTCTCTCTCTCTCTCTCTCTCTCTCTCTCTCTC